TCCACCATAATTTTTTGACTATAAATTTAGCTTTTACTGGTTTAATGGCAGGAACTACCTGGGAGCGACACACAGTTTCCGAAGTAAACAAATAAACAATTTAGGCGACTTATCTTGCAGGGATTATAACGTTAGTTGTTAGTAATGGTTCGTTTTGTTTTTCTTAAACACTATGCCAAGCACCCTCCTGTTCTGGTGGGGCTTATTCCAACCGCCTGTTCAAGCGGTGGAAAAAAACGGTGTGCTTTACGTATGATTTTCTTAATTCATAGGATAAATAGAATCACATGACGATTAATTATAGGACAAGCACCTACTGGTTCCGGTGGGATTTGTCTGCATGGCAAGTGTGCCAAGGAATTCCAACCTGCTATGCCAAGTGTGGCAAGTCTTTCTGCTAACAACCTTGCCTTTTTCTGCCAAGTATGGCAAGCCTTTGGCGAGTTTGTTCCTGTTTTTCTGCCAAGTGTGGCAAATATCTCTTTGGCAAGTGTGCCTGAGTTTCTGCCAAGTGTGGCAAGTATGGCAAGTGTGCCAGGAAAATCTTACAGAATTTCTGCCAAGTGTGGCAATAGAAAGTGGCTTTGAAATCGGCAAAAACAAATAAACCTGCTGTTCGGAATCTTTGCCAAAAACCGAAACGTGTGGTGTCAATGCGTGGTTTGTGCACATATAGTTGGAGCATAATTGTCCGCCTAATGTGAGTTCCTTTCTTACCCAAAAATGCAGCTGTGCACCTCCTACAGATGGGGGAAATCATGGAATATAATGGTCGGTAATGGTACTTTAATAGTACAATACAATGGTCAAGTACTTTTAGGAAAACAAGTAGATTAAAAAAAAAGTATTTATGGAAGACCCGTTGTTATGAGAATAATCACTGGCCATTCATAATTGTTCAAATCAAGAGAAAAATAAAAGTAGCAAGGGAATACAATCAGGAGAGTATTCCAAATAAAGTCTCTGAGGAGCTTTCATCCAACCAAAGATTGACAGCTGACCAACCATCATGTATTACAATTGCTCCACCAGACTTGGTTGGGTGGTCTGATTGATAGCCCCCTTGGCATTTCTTCATCGAAACTTTGGGCGACGTTTGGCTTTTGTTTTCCTTGTCAAAATATTGCTTCTTGCCTCTTAGGCATTTTCTATCCAAACCTAGACCAGGTGTGGTTTTGTATTTTTCACTTACACAACCTTCAAATTATTTTATTTGGAGCACCCCACCAAAGATATTGATTCTTCCCCCCTCTTCTCTAAGGTTTTTATTTTTTTCTGCAACACAGCTCTTTTTTATTCCTGGGACGCAACCCACCAAAAATATTAATTCTTCCCTCCTCGACATTTCTTTTCTATCCACACCTTGATCACTTGTGGTTTTTATTTTTTCTCGGAACCACTGCATTTTTCTTTAGAACATCCATCCCAACCCATGAAAATAAATTAATTCTTTCCTCTTCGTTTATTTTCTGTCCAAACCAAGACCATGCACCTTTTTTTTCCTGTACCTGTGCACATTTTTTTCCTTATTCCGAGCACCCAAACTGTCAAAATATATTATTTCTTTGCTCCTCAACATGTTTTTTTAATCCAAACCTTGACCATGAGGGTTTTTAATTTTTTTTCTTGCACGACTGCACATTTTTATTCCGAGCACCCAACCCCCCCCAAAATATTAATTCGTCCCTCCTCAGCGGTTCTCTATTCAAACCAGGACATTTGAGGAAGAATGTATAAAATGTGGGAAGTTGGTAAATCAAAGGGATAGTATTAGCGTTTATAAGAGGCAGGAAAAAAATCTTATTGGACCAAACACTGGCGACACTTATTTAGCCAACAGACTCAAGAACAGCTTGTATGCATCTTCTTGGCATCTTTGTTGTGACGCTGCCGTTATCGCACACACAGAAACAGCTGATTAAAATAGCAATACTCTCTGAATCACTCATATAAGAGAACGGACGACAACGCGTTCTGAAGTGCCCTTCAGAATGGGGGTGAATAGTAGGGCGTGTAGAACAGAAGGGAAAGCATGTGAACTATATTTTTGATTCCGTCCCTTAATTTATGGCGGCGGTTCTGTAAGCAAAATTGCTGTATAGATGCATGTATATAAGTAAGGAACACGAAGCAAAGACAATGCATGCATGTGTATTAAGTTCGGGAAGGCATGGCAATTTGCAGTGATAAACTAAAGCTGTGTGTTCAACATCCAGGTTATCCCTAATTACATACGACATGTGTGGACATTTTAGACTTGAAATCAAGGTACATGTACTAACGGCCAGGAGTTTCGTAAACAGCTCATGGGTATTCCAACACAATTATACCTCTGCATGATATAAAATCTGTGGATGGTATTTGGGCCTACGTGCGGACAGCTGGGTGCATGTCTGCACTCTGTGTGATCGCTTCTACTACAACTGCTGGTGTCCCAGAGGACAGTCAATCGCAGCGGTCTCGCGATGCAGTTTCGTCGATTTTCAAAGAATCTGACTTTCCGAGGTAGAGAGCTCTGTAAACGGAATCATTTCACATGCTTCATATGGTTCCCGGAGCCTAAAATAGTGGGTGTTTGAATTGGCCAACACAGACTGATAACTTTACCCATGCTCATGATGCGAGAGCAATGACAACATCATAGGCATTCTTAAAAAATGTTCCTCTACTGAACCTCTTGCAGGTGGCCGCTTTGAAAATGCCATCAACCTTTGTCTCGTGCTACCTGTAGGATGTGCTACAGTGAGATGGCCAAATAGGTCGAGTAGCCCTCACAGCTGCCATGGCATCTCACCCCATCAGTCAATACGGGATAACTGCCACTTTCACTCAGACATCTGGAATGCATTCAGTTCCTATTCTTCATATTTGCCATTTTATACCACAATTTGCTTGGGGACATGCTAGTCTGTTAATATATGTATTGCTTGGTAGATCCTTGCATTATGGCAGCTTTGCCCTACCCCTCCATCACAAATGGTGCTATTTTATGCAAAAGTAAAGTTAACAAAGGTAGTCCCAGAAGTGGACTCCCCCAAATCAAAGGTGATTTAGGAGTCCACAGGAGACATTACTTACCTGTTAACCCTCCCCCTTTCCCCGCATGGGACTCGGCTGATAGGCGCTGTTTAATTGCTCGTAATAGAGACAAGGGATAAAGGAACCAGATTAATGTGGGTGGTAGGACCTGGATGCTATTAACTGTGGTTTTAAAAAGACAAGCGGTTGGGATCCTTAGTTGGAGAATATGCAGAAAATAGGTTTAACAGGTAAGGTTCCCTCATGGACTCCCAAATTACCTTTGATTTGGTGGAATGTATGTAAAGACACTCATTATCACTACAAATGTGAAGTTGAACCCACTCCAGTACATGATTTGGTAACTACAGTCATTTGAAGTTCAAGCCTACATGCATGCAAGCCCACATTTTGAGCATGGTAGTGAAAAAATACACATTTGTGGCTGACCTGTCTCAGAAAAATTGGTACTGCTAAGAACAGT